GGGAGGGGAAGGGGAAAGGAAAGAAGGGAAAGGAAAAATTATAAGAAAAGAAAAAAAATGGAAACAAAATCTATGTAAATAGGGAAGGGTGGAGGGGGTGAAGGGCGCACAGGTAATCGGGAGAAAAAAAATAAGAACCAAGATATATCATGTACAGGTACAAGCACCCAATGATAAATGTAAACGTATTGCATGCCTAAAATGTACCAATAAAAAAATAAAATTAAAAAAAAATTATATGTCTTGAGGGCCAGGGATTTAGCTCAGTGGTTCTGGCACCTGCCTTGAAAGAGCAAGGTTCCAAGTTTGATCCCCAGTACCAAAAATAAAATTATATGTCTTGAAAGAGGAAAAATTTCAAGAAGTGAAAATATTGTAGATAAAAGGAAACTATAGAGACTGGGCAATAAAAAAGCAATGCATAATCTCTAGACCCTGGGTTGAAAAATAAAAAGCTACAAACTGTAAAAAAAAAAAAAAGCTACAAACTGTATAGTATAAAGACATCATTGGGACAATTGATGAAGTTTGATTATGAAGTAATTATTGTATTGTAACAATGTAATATTTCTTGAGTGTGATAATTGTATTGTGATCATTTAGATATGTGATGTTTTCAATTTATTACCAGATGGTTAAGAAAAAAAGAAGTGTCGGAGGGAAAGCAGAAAATAATTGTAAAAATACAAGCAGTTGGTGGATCTAAGTAAAGGATATGTAAGTATTCATTGTGCTATACTTTCCATTTTTCTGTAGGTTCAAAATTTTCAAAACAAATGGTTGAGGATGAAAATCAAGGTTTGAAAAAGGGCAGAAACCAGTAGTGAAGTGAGCCCTCTCTCCAGCTTTGGAGCCACCTCTGGGACCTGGCCTGGGCAGTGAGCTTCAGATACTCACCTTTTCATCTCCAGCATCCTGGAAAGTGCCTAGAACATGTAGTCATAAAAGGTGCACAAAGAAGCACCCCAGTTCTCAGGGAGGAAGGGCTAAGTCAGCTCCAGGTTCAGAAAAATCAGGATGGCAGCCATGGATATCAATTTTCCAGGCCTTCGTGTTGCTGGAAAAACCAGATGTGGACTACAACAGCATCAACAGGGGTGACACCAGGGCTTGTTCCCTAGCAGTACCCTTCTGGTCTCACCTGCCTTCTTGGCAAGCCAGGGAAAATTTGCAGGGCTGTATTGGCTGCTGTCCTGCCTCCTAACATTGTCCCTGGAGGGTCCATGAACCTCAAAAGTTTGGAAGACAGTAGTTGGCCAGAGGGGCTGACCTTCAGCATGGCTACACCCTCCACCAGCTAGGTTCTGAAATCGAGAGACAGCAGATGGAAGGTCTCAACTGCAATTCCAGGTCCACTCTCTGCCATTCAGCATAGGGTTCTAAGGGGCACATGGTTGGCAAGGTGAAGTCCTCCCTACTGGAAAATTCTCTGAATCCATAAGGAGGGGATATAGCAGCCTGAGCTACAGCTGCTACACACAGCTAGACACACCCTTGCCCTTAGTCTCAGTTCCACCAAAGCACAGAGAATTTCCTGTTCCTTTTCCATGATTTCACAAGCTGCTTGCTCACTCTTGGGCTCCTGTTAGAAGTCTTTTTATCCTGCCAGAAGCCAGACAGCTGACTCCAGGTTCTCCTGGTCAGCACCATGGCCAAGACCCTTAGTGACCATCTGCTGAACACTCTGGAGGAGCTTGTGCCCTATGACTTTGAAAAATTCAAGTTCAAGCTGCAGAACACCAGCCTGGAGAAGGAGCATACCCGGATTCCCCGGGGCCATCTCCAGATGGCCAGACCAGTGAGGCTGGCTACCTTGCTGATCACCCACTATGGGGAGGAGTATGCTGTGAGGCTGACTCTGCAGGTCCTACGGTCCATCAACCAGCGCCTCCTGGCAGAGGAACTCCACAGAGCCACTGGCCAGGGTAAGCAGCCCAGCTCACCTCCTGGCCCAGCACTGGCTGCTGGCTGCTGGCAAGAGGAGGGGAGGCATGCTTGGGCTAGAACTCTCTGCTTGAAGGTTAGGAGTCTCCCATCCACCACAACCTGAGCAGCTTGAGTCCAGCACATTCTGTCCCTCTCTCTGGCCCTTATAGAGGTGTTAGTAAGGCTCCCTCAGTTTCCTAATGGTTTCTTTTTTAAAGGCTAAGATTCGGACTGTAAGAATCAGGAGAGGGAGGGGATGGGCACCTGTTTTTAGAGAATCATTTATTTCATTTACAATTAGCACTTGTGCAGACAAGTGTATTAAAAGGGCTTGCAAAGCAATCATATTAACAGGTTGATGTATAATGTTCTCATTGTTATCCACCTAATTTCAGTTTAATATTTCCCTTTAACATACTTTATAAGGATATTTAAAATTTCTTGAGAATTTTCTTTTTCTCTCTCTTGCTTGCTCTTCCTTCTTTTACTATCTTGATGTTGCAACTTTCTTGTTTATTACAGTGTGACCAAAGAATATGGCCTATTTAGTTTCTGCTTTTAGAGACTTAGTTTTTGAGTCACTTTTAAAAAAATTCTCTTTCATATTCGAATTTTTATTCCATTTCTTGACTTTAAACCTATATCAGAAATACTTTCCAGGAATTTCTATAAGGCCAAACAGTTTAAATAACATGTCTGTAGTCTGTGAGAGTCAGGGAGCCTAGTAGAATTTCAAAATTACTTTTTCATGATATAAAACTTGATTGTTAGCACCTTCAGGGGTTCTCACCAGTTCTTGAACTAGTTTTGGTACCTTACATCTATCTAGAAAGCCAACAGCAAACTGTTTCAAACCATTTTAAGAGCGTGTGTGTGTGTGTGTGTGTGTGTGTGTGTGTGTGTGTTTTGCTGGGGACTAAACTGAAGGCCTCAGGCATGCTAAGCACAATGTGTTCTACCACTGAGCTACACCTCCAGGCCCAAAATATTACTATTAGCTTCCTTAAACCAAAAACTAAGGTACTAATTACAGATTGTCTTCATTTTCTTGTGTAGACCTTGGAATTAAGCCTTTCCTGTTATTTCCACACAGTAAACAGTATCCTGAAATTTCCAAACAAGCTGGATTTTTGTTGTTGCTATTGTTAAATTACCATTTACACATTTCTGTGTAAGAATTTTCTTCAGTTTATGCAATGAAGGAAAAATAAAAGAATGATAAGCCTTGATTTCAAAATATCTGTGTTGATCAAACACCTTCATTCTTTTTATGGATTGATTTTATAAAAAGTGAAATTTGTATATCTGTAATCATACATAAATTTACATGAATAGCCAGAGTTTAAGTTATTTTATTTGAAACAAGATCTTACTGAAACAAGTTCTCCTGCTTAAAAAGTTTGAAAAATACTACTTGAGAAAAATATAGCAAATCATGTGTATATTCTTTTTTTTTTTTTTTTTGGTACCAGGGATGGAACTCTGGTCCTTGCACTTGTGCAGCAGGAAGCGAAACCACTGAGCTAAATCCCCGGCCCTCATGTGTATGTTCTTACCTTGTGGCCATTTACTCTTACTGGCTAGGATGTTCCACATTTTACCTGCTATAATTCCTGATGGGATATTCTCATTCTCTCTCTCTCTCTCTCTCCCCCCCCTCCTTCTCCCCACCCCCATCCTCCAATAATTCTGGGCCCTGAGTATGGGATAGCTTCATGTCTTTGCATCTGGTTGTCTTTACAGAACTTGGGACACAAGAAAGTTGCATTGACATTTTGGCAACATATTCTGGGGAGAACAAGCCCAAGAGCCTGAAGGTACCAGATGGCCCAGCAGGTGATGAGCATCGGCAAAGTGGCAATGGGGCAGCCAGCCTGATGTCCAGCCAGACTGAGGCAGTGAAGGGACCTCAGAAGAAGTCTCAGGGAAAACGGAGAGACCCAAAGGGCCCCGAGGGCCTGGACTTGCAGGGTAAGCTGTGGGCTAGGAGTGCAGCGCTGCCGACCAGGAGAAGCCCAGTGCCCACCCAGTCGCAGCCAGGGAACAAGGAGAATGGGGTGAGCACCCAGCTCCGGAGGAATGCCAGCTCAGCAGGAAGGCTCCAGGGGCTCTGCACTGGGGCCCTAGGGAGGAGAGAATCCAAGAAATCGGAAGTATATTTGCCTTCAGGAAAAAAGCGACCCAAAAGTCTTGAACTTTCCTCAGAAAAGGAAGGACCTCCAAATCCAGAAACTCTTCTTACCTCTCTTGAGGAAATGAGAAATGGAAATGCAGACTCAGCAGCCACCTCCAGAGTAGGGGCTGCTGTGACTCTAGAGAATGGCTCCAGGAATCCAGAATATTCCATGGTCATGGAGGAGGGTATATCCAGGATCACACTTTCCAGGGCATCTTTGGCTAGAGAAGAAAAATCTACAGCATCCTTTGAGGAAGAAGGAACTGGATATCCAGACACTCTGGGAAAGATGACAGGTGGTCTGTTTCACAAGTCCTCAAATCCAGAAGTACTTTCATTTTCAGGTGAGAAGGGAGCCTGGAATGGAGAAGACCTAGTACCCTTAAGACTGGTGGCCTGTAAAGGTATTCCCTCCACCACATTTTCTTTTATCCCAACTGTATTTATATCACTGGGATACCTGGGTACCTCTTGGGATTCCCTCTGGTCCTGGCTATAGACCCTAAAAACTACATATAGGCACATCCTTGCAAAATGCTGCATCAAAATTCAATTCATTCTTGGATCCTCAGAAGTTCTTCTTTAGATTTCATGGGGCCTAGATTGAGAACCCAGAAAAGATTGAGTAAAAATATCTTCTTCCCACAATTACTCCAAGACAACATGTCACAGGGCTGAGATTCTACTATTTGCCTTTCTCTGGGAATAGAGTAGAGCCATTCACCAAAATCCTAGGTCTCTCTTACTAAAGAATTAGTCCTCATGATTCTGTCTGTGAGTAATAGAAACCCAAAAATTACAGTAGCTGAAACAACAGAAGTTTGTTTCTCTTTTGCACAAATGACATGCAGGTTGGTCCAGGATAAGGCCATGTGCCAGGACCCCAGACTCCTGTTGTTCTTCTGCTCCACCAAGTTTGCTCTGAAACTCATAGTCTCAGATAGTAACATTTTCATTCCAGCCAGCAAGATGGAGGGAGAAAAGGGATTGCTTTGGAATAGTTTCTAGGAGTTTCTAGAAGCTGCTCATGACACCTTGTTTACATCCTTTTGGCTAGAATACCTCAAATGGGCACTTCTAACTGCAAGGGAGTTTAGGAAGCAGGCTTATGGGCAGCAGTTAATTCTGTCACAAGGGAGGATGGGAGAATGGCTCTTGGGAGCCACTAACAACTGTTTACAGGTGTGATGTGAATTCCTGGGGTAGCAAGGTTAGGAGGAGGGAAGGACTAATTGATGGCATGTGTTTCTGTTTCTTCTTGTGTCCTGTCATTTCTGTGTTAGTCTTGGGGTAGATCTATTCATAACCGTTACATCTTCATGCCAAGGTATACCCCCTTTAGCCTTACAAAGTCCCCTTCTTTGCTTTCATTTAATGCTTTTTGAACTTAAATGTGTGCAATGATTCATTTGCTACTGGATTCAACACATGCATTTCAAATGTTTACCATGTATTCTTCCAGGAGCTGGGGATCAGTCTGAGTGAGGCATATGAGTCATTATCCCCTGGGAGCTCCCACTGGAGCTTAGTAGCCTGAGGTGGTTTTAAGTGGCAAAGCAAATGCTGTACTGGATGCCTTCTTTCATTTAACCCACTAGATCCATGCCTATTCAGGAGGAAGGCACAGGTTTTACATATGATCTTAGCCAAAAGGCCAAGAAGCAATAGGAAGGCATAGGTTTTATAGCAAAGGGTTGTGGGTCTTTCCTAGAATAAATCCCAATCCCAAGTCTCAGAAATAAACTTGAGGCCTGTCCCTTAGCTCTTAGTATCTGCTCCCTCAATGAATGGAAGTCAGTGCAGGAAATGCTAAGTGGTCAGATATAACCAAGAACTCACGGCATAGGTTCTCTCTCCTAAACATCTTGGGATTGCCCACTCAGGAGATTCTTCTACTGCTGTGTCCTCAGGGAGGCTACAGGAGGAGGCTGCATGTTCCCTTGGCCACACCCAGGAAGGAGATCAGCTTGGTGGTACCTGTGTGCATGGTTCCTGCAGCGGTCCTGTTGCTTCTGGAGACTCTCAGGTCTCAGGCAACAGCTTGCCCAACTGCCCCCAGTGCCAGGCCTTCCTGGCAAGGAAGAGCTCTGGAGGTGTGAGTCCCCAGGCCCTGCTACAGTGCCAGCGCCACATGAAACAGGAACTGCTGCTCTTCTGTGAGGACCATGGGGAGCTCATCTGCCTCATCTGCAGGCTGAGTCAGGAGCACCAAGGGCACCGGGTACGCCCCATTGAGGAGGCCGCCTTGGACTACAAGGTAAGTACTGCTTGTCTGGGACCCTTCTCTGCCATGCACTTGGACATACTGGCCTTCTTCATTTCTCCAATCACTCTGGGACCTAGGTGTACTAGCCAGGACTCTTGGGCTGTAAATGGCAAAAACAATACAAACCAGGCCAGCAAAGGAAATTGAAAGATTTTGTGTTCAGAAGCCCACAGGGGAGGGGAGTGTGTGCCTTCAGGTATGGCTGTATCCAGGAGCTTCCAGGGGGTCACTGGAACTCTCCCATATTACCTCTTGGCTCTGCTCCCCATTATAATGGATTCATTCTTCCTCCTTCATGAATACTTCTCCTTATGCTCCTGGAAGCAGATTTTCTCCTCTGGAGTTGACAGTAGCTAAAGCAGGAGCCAAGGGTAAGCATCTAAAAAATGTTCTTTCTCCAGGAGCAAATTCAGAAGCAGCTGGAGCATCTGAAGGAGCTGAGGAAATCTGGGGAGGAGCAGAGATCACAGGGGCATATGAAGACGGCACGCTTCTTGGTAAGGCTGGGAGCATCCTGTGGCAGGTCCTTTCTCTTTCACACCTACAGAAGGAAAGAAGGGACTGAAAGTGAGTAGGAGTCCATGAGATTTTTTTCTGGTTCACAGGGCAGCAAGGATGGTCATCTGTTCTTGGGGAGCAGGGAGATAACAGCACCCAAGGCCAAGCTTGCCTCAGTAGAGGGAGACCACCCCAGCAGGGACAATCACCTCCAAGGACCCTGCACATTTTCTCATTCTCACCACCAAAGGGTTCATAGAGACCAAAGGCAGTGGCTGTCACCAAGGAATGAGATTGAAGAAAGGAGAGGAAAACCATTTTAATTTTAAATTCTCTGTGACCGTGTGTGTGTGTGTGTGTGTGTGTGTGTGTGTGCGCATTACGTGCGCATTACTGAGAATTGAGCCCAGGGCCTTGGCACTGAGCTACACCCTTGCCTCCTCATACCTTTTTACATTTTGAGACAGGGTTGTTGTAAGTCACTAAGTTGCCCATGCTGAGCTCAAACTTTCAATCCTCCTGCCTCAGCCTTCCAGAGTGCTGAGATTACAGGCATGCACCACCATACCTGGCTCCTCTGTATTGTTTTTACAATTGCTATCTTTTTTTTGGTACGGGGGATCGACCTCAGAACTTTGTGCTTTTGAGGCAGTTGGCAGCACCACTGAGCTAAATCCCCGGCCCACTGTCTTTTTAATATAAAAACCACACTGATTCTTAAAATGAAAATGCAAAACATTTTCTTTAAACTGTGGTTTTGTGACACCATACATTTTACTAACGGCATTCTGTTGAGCTGGTAGTGTCCAGCCTTTTGGATGTGTAAGTTGCTTTCACTTTTCCTGGACCCTATTCTACAGAGCCTCGATTTGTGTAATGCATTTTCATTGGTTGGATCCTGTCTCCCTCTGGTTCCCCAAATTCTGACAAGTTGGTACCCACCATACCCCATTGAGTCAAAGGGAAAGATAAACAAAGGAAAGAATGAAAGTGGGCATTTGGCCCAGGTGTCTGGCTTTGTGGACATTCCTGAATTGTAGGAATATGAAAATTTCTTCCTATAATCCCACATGACTAGAACCTTGTGGATGGAGCAGAGGTCAGAGTATCCCCAAGGAGGTCAGGCAGTAGTACATAGGCCCTTTTGGAAAACTCAGATTGACAAATGGTTCAGCCTTCCCTTAATACACTACAGAGTCCTTTTGCTCTTCCTCTTTCTTCTTTTTTCTACTTCTTTCCATAGTCCAAAAAGAAAAAAACCTTTTAATCATAGGGATGGGGACTCTTTTTTTCACAGCAGAATGCCAACCAATGCAAACAGTATAAAAGAATGATTGTATTAGAAAATTTCCATTACACAGATACTAGTATGATAGTTGACAGGCTGGGATTATTAACTGGCACTAAAATTTTTAGAGGAAGATTGTTAGAGAACAGGATATTTATTCACTCTCAAGGTACCATTCCCCACATACAGAGAGGAAATAAAGGAAATAACGTAAATTTATAATGGAGAAATCTGGTAGACCCTTGTTTAACCAAGTGACCAACTGAAGTCTAACAATAATGGCAGTTGACCAACTGGATATTCTTTGCTTCCAGATGAGATGGAATAGGAAAGGCATTTGGGATTAACTAGTTTAATTAGTTTTCTTGCCCAAAATGCTTAACATGAATTTAATCAGAGGCAAAATTATCAGTTTTAGAATATAAACTAAACATGACAACTGACCTATCTTCTTCAAAAAAGAAAACAATCATCATCCTCACCAACAATGACAACACCAAAAGATGAGGAGATATCCTGGGTTCAAAGGAACTAAAGAGAGATGGAGATGTAGCTCAATGGTAGGGCACCTCCTTGGCATGCATGAAGCTCTGGATTTAATCCCCATACTGCCAAAACAGAAGGAGGAGGAGAAGAAGAAGGAGGAGAAGAAGATGGGGAAGGAGAGGAGATGATGGAGAAGGAGATGAAGGAGAAGAAGAGGAGAAGGAGGAGGAGGCAGAGAGGGGGAGACTAATGTCTCCCTAATTAGTCCTGTCCTTTTAAAGCCAAAGTGTTAAGACTCTTAAGCCTAATGTTTGTTGATCTGAATATCCCTTTCCCCTTTGGAGGAAGAAATGGGTTCCCTGGGACCATGTCACCTCTCTGAAGAAGCTTCCTGAGGACTAGGAGAAAGAGGATGACAGAAAAACCAATGGTTGATCTCTGCATGACAGTAGTGGAAGCTTATAAATAACCATTTTCTCTGTGGCTCTTCACCTGGTGTTCTGCCTGCATGTGCGTGTGCATGCAAGTGTGTCCTAATGTTGTCATTTTATAAGGACACCAGTCCTATTGGATTAGGGGCCCATCCTACCCCAGTAGCAATTATATCATCTTAATTAAGTAAACCTGCTTGGACTCTAACTTCAAATAAGATCACCTTCTGGAATACTGAGGGGTTAGCCCTTCAACATATAAGTTTTAGAGGGGACAAAAATAAACCTGTAACCCCAGATTTCAGAGCATTTTCCAAGAGCTAGCCCTTCTAACCCTGTCTGTTCTGGAAGGTTCCAGCCAATACTGCCCTTGGCTCTAGAGTCCAGGCCTCCAAAAGGCTGAGGAAGCCTGCTTTTAATCTACCTCCAGGAGGTCAGCTGCAGGCCTCCCTAGACACACATGTCCACCCCACTGCACAGACCTCCTACAACTAACTCCCTGTCCTCTGATTTCCAGAAACAAACTGAAACCCAGAAGCAGAGGGTGCAATGCCAACTGGAGCAGCTGCATCGGTTTCTCGAGCAGCAGGAACAGCTCTTTCTTACCTGGCTGGAGGAGCTGGGCCAAACTATTGGCCAGGTGCAGGAGACCTATGGCACCCGGGTGTCCCAGGACATTGCCCTCTTTGATGAGCTGATTGGAAAGCTTGAGGCCAAGCAGAGACAGTCAGAATGGGAGCTCATGCAGGTGAGTGATCTAGGCCTGCCTTCCCCTGCCAGCTGGGCCCAGTGAGATGACTCAGACTCTCATCATTGCCATCACCTCTACCTAAGCAAGGGCGCCTCTTTCAAAGCAAGGGAGTAAGGCTCTGGAGGCCTGGGTGTGGGCTTGGTTCTGGTGAGCTACCATGCTTCTTGGCTCCGACCTTTCTGATGAGGTCTCTTGGGGATCCAGGGTGGTGCACCATTAAGGTGGCTCTAGCATTGTCCAGAAGAGATGTGCAGGGCTCTTGTGCAGTTCTACAGCAGGCTCTGGAAAGGGCACCACCTAGGTGATTAGAACTAGAATTGAAGAGAGATGTTTCTGCTACCTGATGCCCCAAGGTTGAGATCCCTGGTGAGGGCAGGGAGAAGCATAAAGACCAGGAGCCCAGGAGGAGAGGCCAGGATCATTCTGGCCACCAAGAGACTGGTAATGAAAGCTTCCCTCTTTTCTCTCCTAGGACATCGGAGTCACCTTGCACAGGTACAAAGAGTCCCTGGTGTTCCCTTTGGTATCTTGCAGAAGGCATTTGGGTGAGACAGTCCTAGGAGGGACCTGAGTCTGTTATTTCTGTGACTTAGTCCTTCCATTTCCTGCAGCTTCTTGAGGCTCTTCCTTGTTTTGTGTAGGGAGAACAGGAACCTGGCCAGGATGTGGGGAGGGAGCATTGGAGGGAAGGCTGGGAAAAATGAATGAAACCTTCACTTTATGAAAACTGCCCCTGCAGAGCTGTCTATGGATAGCCTCCAGGGAAGAAGTACTTTCTAGGAGTCTCTGGGGAGACATTTGGAGTTGGGCTATACACAGAAGGCAATATAGGTGAGGGTGGAACTGTCACTTGGAAAACTTTATACAAATCTTGTGTCTGTCATCCACCTCCAGAACTTTTTCACTTTCCCATGGGAAACCCTGTACCATTAAAACTAGTTGGGCCAGGGATTTAGCTCAGTGGTTCCGCCGCCTGGCCCTAAAGCACAAGGTCCCGAGTTTGATCCCCGGTACAAAACAAAAACAAAAACCCTAATTTCTCACTGCTCCATCACCACCCCCTGAAAACAACCATTTCGGTTTCTGTCTATGAATTCTAGTACTCTACATAACATAAATGGAACTACACAATATTTGTTCTTTGGTGTTTAGCTTTTTCCACTTGGCATAATGCCTTCAAGGTTCATCCATGTTGTAGCATGTGTTAGAATTTTGTTCCTTTTAATGGCCAAAAAAATACTCTGTTGCATATGTATACCACATTTTGTTTACCTATTCATCTGTTGTGATAGAATTTGGATTGTTTCTACCTTTTGGCATTATGAATAATGTTGCTGTGAACATGGGTATACAAGTATCTGCTTGAGACCCTGCTTTCAGTACTTTTGAGTGTATACCTAAAAGCAGAACTGCTAGATCATATGATCATTCTATAGAGATTTTTAGGAACCACCACATTTTTTTTCCACAGTGGCCACAAGATTTCACACTTCCACCAACAGTGCACAAGGGGTCTAATTTCTCCATGTCCTTGTCAACATATTTTATTTTCTATTATTTTTGTTGTTGGATTTTTCTTGTTTTTGTTGGTTTTGAGGTGGGGTGGTGGGAAAGGGTTCAGGCTATATCGTTCAGGCTGGTTTTGAACTCATTACATAACCCAGGCTGCTCTCACACTTGTAGTGATTCTCCTGCCTCAGCTTCCTGAATACTGGGATTACAGGAGTGTACAACCATGCCCTGCTATTTTGTTGTTTTTATAATAGCTACACCAGTGGGTGTGAAGTGGTATTCCATTATGCATTTGTTTCTCATTTATTATCTTTTATCTCAACAGAAAAAGAATAGAGAAGTGTGGTTAATTTAACATAGAGAATTCTGGTAAATGATAGCAATACCAATTTAAGAGCATTATTTTAACTCACTGTCTTGATATCAGTAGTTCTTAAAACTCCCCAGTAGTTGCCAGTCTGAGACTAAAGTTAAGGACCAGTGTTCAGAACTCTAAGTACAGTGAGGACTTTTCTTTGCATAGTTCAGACTGGGCTGGGTGTGTCCCATGGAGACTGCAATTCATTTCTAGCTCACAGGGACTCAGGCCACCCTCTCTCTTCAGTCCTCCCTGACTGACAGTTTCTTGTCTCTAGAGCCAAGATGGTGACTGTCCCTGAGCCATGGGCCACTCCTCCAGAGGTGAAAGAAAAGATCCATCTGCTATACCAGAAATCAGAGTTTGTGGAGAAGAGTATTAAGTACTTCTCAGGTAGGTGGGGCTGTGGGAGGATGGGAAGCAGCTGCTCACCTTCTCCATGGGGGTCTGTGGAGCCCAGATCACCCTTGCTTCCCTCTTACCTCCCACAGCTTTTATGACTAAAGCCTTTACATCACCTTCTGTTTGATTTGTTCCTAGCTGGGGGAATCTAATTTGAGCCTCTTTCTGTTCCCTTTCCTGCTTTTTAGATACACTGCGGTCTGAAATGGAAATGTTCAATGGTGAGTATGGTGGCAGAAGTGTACACTGACCAGGTGCTGTTGATTTCAGGGACTTGTTTTGGAAGAGAGAAAAGCACCTAGAACAAAGGCAGGAGAAAGGTCAAGGGAGGCTCCACAGCTCTGCATAGTCTTTTTGTACCTGCCTCTTTGGCTAAGTTAACTCACTAGACCACAGTCGCCAAACTGGGTATGGTTGACCTGGGAGGCCAAGCTAAGATGTCCGGCCCTAAGCAAGGGGATCCTTGTCTTTCCTTGTTGCGAAGATAGTGTAACTTAGGTCCTCTGGATGGGAATGGCAGGACCTTTTCTTCCCATCTCTCTCTTTTTTCTCTCTGTAGTTCAAGAACTGACTGGTGCTCAGGAACATGCTGGTAAGTGTCCAGATCAAGACAAGTAGCCTTGGCCTCCTGGGATCCTGTGTGCCCCCACCACATCTAGAAGAGCAGCCCTGTCCTATTTCCCGGAGGTAGGGAGAGCCCTAGCAGGATGTTGTCCATGAACCCCCAGATAGGTATTCTAATTCTCTTTGCAGTTGAGGTGTTCCTGGATCCAGCAACTGCCCATCCAAACCTTGTCTTCTCTGATGATATGAAGAGCGTGAGATTGGGAGGCCAATGGGACAGGCTGCCTGACAACCCAGAAAGATTCGACAGCTGCATCTTCACCCTGGGCTCTCCCAGATTCTTCTCTGGTTGCCATTACTGGGAAGTGGAGGTTGGAAACAAGACCGCATGGGTCCTGGGAGTATGCCACGCTTCCACAAGCAGGAAGGGGAGTGTGACTCTGACACCAGAGAATGGCTACTGGGTGGTGATGATGATGAAGCCAAATGAATACCAGGCATCCACCATTCCTCCAACTCACCTGCGAATGAGTGAGCCCCCCAAACGTGTGGGGATTTTCCTGGACTGGAAGACTGGACACATTTCCTTTTATAATGTGACAGTCAGATCCCACATCTATACATTCACCAGCTTCTCTTCCTCTGGGCCCCTTCAGCCTATCTTCAGCCCTGGAACACATGATGGGGGGAAGAACATAGGTCCTCTGACCATCTGTGCAGTGGATGGCCAAGGACCTCACTGAATGCCCAAAACTGTACCTCTACGCCATCTCCTGGCCTTGCATCTTGCATTCAGGCACTCAGCAGTTACCAACTGAATACCTACTGTGAGCCAGCTGCTGCTATAGAGAAGGCAATGAATAAGAAAATAGTCCCAGTGCCAAGAAATTTACCAAATCATAGCAGAGGTAAGGTAGGTATGAGCCTGAAAACGATTTCTGAACAACAATAAAAAAAGGTTTACCTGCGGCTAGCTGACCTAACTGACAAAGAGCCACTCCCAGCTCATCCCCGCTCCCACCTCTAACACATGTCCTCCTTCATTGTCTTTTGGTCTCAGTGTCTGTATCCAGTGTACTTTTCTTTTTTTTTTTTTTGGTACCGGGGATCGAACTCAGATCCTTGTGCTTGTGCAGCAGGTGGCGAAACCACTGAGCTAAATCCCCGGCCCCTCCAGTGTATTTTTCTATCCAATCATGTAAACTAAATGTAACTTCCTCAACCAATGAACTGATGTTAAATGCCTTGCTTCTATATCCCCATCCCTTTTCCCTTGACCCATATAAACCCTGTTCACTGCCAGCTCCGGGCTGATCGCTTTGTGGAGAAATCCCCGATTGGTCCATCAGGATAATAAAGCTGTACACTTGCCTCCAACCTGTGGGTTCATTCTCAATTCTTCTTGGCCTGATCCTGCTATACCACTAAGAGTTGCCACACTGTGGATTACAAGTCTGCCATTACATTTGGTGTGTTAGCTGGGAAGATCGACTGTGCTAATTGATTAAAATCACCAGTTGAAGCCCTTGCAGAGGGAGTGGGGACCTCCCCTGCCCCTCAACAGAACAACGTGCCCTCAGAGATTTCTCTGAGTATCCTCGGAGGACTGGGGACAAACTGCTCACCACCTTCGGTTTTCTGGACCCAGAAGGAGTAAGGATCCTCATCTGGTTTAGTCAAATTAGTCATTGGATAAGGTAAGACCCCTGGGGGCACCCTAGTTAATTTGTTTCATCCTGCCCCGCTCAGGCAGAAGGAGGGCTTGCCCACCCCTCTACCAAAACAAACATTTCTCACTTGTTTTTGGTTTACTTTCAGTTTCTGCCTACTAGCCTGAAAAGAGAGAATCCCTGGGAAGGGGGTTGGAATGTTTAACCTCTGAATGCCTAGAGAGTGCGATTATGAATGAATGCAACTGGATACTGTCCTTATTACCTGCTCTGTGTGGCTCCACAGGGTAGAGAGGAGCGATCCCTCTTGGACCTACAGAGTCTGATTGAGTTTGTCTGTGATTTTGTGGACGTGTATAAGAAAGGCCAAGTGGACAGGCAGGTCTGTGCATGCCCTACAGAGGTCCCGAGTCGCGCAGAAGACGCTGAATCACCCCACTGCAGACAGGCAGCCACCTGGTTCCACACTACAAAGACGCAGAGGACACCAGACCACCAGACCACCAGACCACGGTACTGAGTCCCGCTGCTCCCGGCCCAGAGGTAGGAGCTTCTGAGCTGACGTCCCACTGCTTCTGGTCCAGAGGAAGGGGATTCCCAGTCACCATCACTCCCGCTGCTTCCAGCCCAGAGGAAAGGGCTTGTGGGCCACCTTCTGTCCCGCCGCTCCTGGCCCAGAGGAAGGGGCTTCTGAGCCACCATCCCTCCCACCTCTCCCGGCCCAGAGGTAGGGGCTTCTGAGCTGCCATCCCACTGCTCCTGGACCAGAGGAAGGGGCTTCCCGGCCACCATCCCTACCACTGCTCCCAGCCCCTGTCCCACCTCTCCCAGCTCAGAGGAGGTAT